AAAAAAAAAAGAGAAGAGGATAGAGAAAGATAGCAAGTGAACAATAGAGGGGATGTTAGTGAGAAACAGATATGGTTTATTATCTGTTGAAGATGACGTGTATAGTATTCTCAACTGGACTGGTCTGGGAAGTATTTCATGATGGGTGAAGTCTTTTAACAAGCAAAATGAGAAATAGTGATTGACTGTTTTAAAAAATTATAATAATAATAATTATTGGGAAATGCATGGAAAAGACTTTGAATGATAAAGCGGGGAGATCGATGCCTCTGTATTGACTGACATGCATGGCATTCCCTTTTGAAAAAGCAATGGAAGTCAATGTAAAGTTATATGTAATCCAATGTAATATAAAGAAGATTATGATGATAATAAAAGAGTAATTCAGTTTAAAAAAAAAAAACTTAACATCTGCACATAGCTTTTTTCAGAATACACATTGTGAACCTTTTTTTTTTTTTTTGGAAAGGTTTTTGCTATCGGGCTCATGTGCTCGCCAAAAAGAGACAGAGAGACAGAAAGCGAGAAATCACCCCCCAGGGGGGATGGCCACGCTGCAATCCCTTCTCCTCCATTCTCCTCTCCGGATCTTGGGCATGCACGCACCTGTGCCTGGCATGAGTTTAAGTCACCAGGTCCAAGACTGAAGATGCGGTTGGCTACATGGGAGTCCAGCAACAGAGCCATTGCGCCAACGGCTGGTCCCCACAGTGATCTTTTAAAGATCGTTTGTAATACAATCTAATTAATGCTGCATGTATACTTAAGTGTTCGGGGGTGAAGTATACTACATGTTACTTCAAAATACATAAAGTAAGATGAAACAATGAATGAACAGATATGGGCTCTACGGCTTTATCGTAGGTGTCCAGACGTTTCATATTAAAATGCTGGGGTTGGGGTGGGCAGGGAGAGAGAATTATTACCTAACTCTTGAAGGTCCACTGTGGAACAGGAGCACAATTTGAAAACTCAAGAGTTAAACCATGCTTTGAGCCTCAGCAATGCAAATGAACCTTTCCTCCATCTTTAATGCGTGGGAGCTGGACTCACTGAGTACTACGATCCTTCTAAATATAAACATGAATAAAGTAGATCAAAGATCCCTTTTAAATGAATTGGTATCAAGACATGGGGCTATGATGATCAAGGAAGAACAGCCAGGCTGCCAATGTGGAGAGACTTTCCGTGTTCATATCACAGCTGGGCGCACATAAGCGAGTGGTGAACTGGAAAGCCCCCTCGGTCCTGCATGCTGAACGCAGGAGCTGTCCTAGTCTTTTTTCTTTGCTAGTAACAGAAAATGCCCGAGCCTGGGTAATTTAAAAGACCTGAGGGTTTATTCGGCTCAGTTTGTTCTGAAGTCCAAGGTCCAGAGCCACAGATATCTGGTGAGGATCTTCTGGGCATATCAGAACATGGCAGAAAGCAGGAGAGTGTGCACCTGTCCGCGTGTCTGTCCCCTCCCTTTACACACAAGCCAGGAGTCACTCACACATCCCCTCATAACCTTAACCCTAATCTCCTCCCAAAAGCCCTACCTTTTATCACCATCCCCTATTTATGTCTTCATTCTCTTAATCCCATCAAGACCAAATTCAACAGATGGATTTTTCAGGGGCAGGGGTGCTCAACCCACAGCAGGTTTCCATTGTAGCCCACCTGTGACCCTCCCCTCCCATCCTGTCCCATCCATTCCACTGACACTATGGCCCCATCACCACCCAGTGCTGTCTCTTCCATCCAAGGGAACACAAATGCTCTTCCCTCTATGAGAAACTCCCTTCCCTTTCCTTCGCTCTTAGCTAACTTCCGCTCATTCTTAAACCTCAGCCTGACGAGACTGGACATTCCTCGCCCCAACCCCAACTACAGCACACATAAAATGGACAAATAACCCGACAATATTTAACATCTATCTTTCCCATTAGATGAGAAGCCCCATGAGGCAGACTGGCCTGCTGTCTCTTCTCCAGCAAGGGCCTTGGAGACCACCGTAACAGCTCTCGTACACTCAGGGCTTCATGCGCCGCTTCATCCATATTCGTGCATTTAAGCTATTAGGCCCACAAGAAATGTGGTGAAGCCTCCCTTCTGCTCTATAAATGTCCACCTCTTGAAAAATATATGTCGACACTTAGTAAGTCTCAAGCCCTGGGCTGAGACACTCGGGCTGCAAAAGTGGACGGGGTCTACATGGAACACGCTATGGGCTGGAGGGTACACAAAACCCAGTCATCACACTGTGTGACCTAAGCTCTGGGAGGTACACGCTGTGAGCAACGGCAACTCAGGCAGCTGTGATGGGAAGGCTTCGCTCTGGCCTGGCTTGTCCGAACCTGGTGACAGGCACCTATCCCATCTCCACTCCCACTACTGCCATGTGGAATTCTGCCCAGCACTGAGTTCTGTCTAGCAAGGTCCCTGAACAGACAACAGAACGTCACACTAGTGTTCTCATATGTGAAATAGACAGGATGCCCATTTTAAAGATAAAGTAAAAACATCTAATAAACAATACATGCTATAGAGTATTACTCACTATTTTAAGTCTGTCCATTTTTTCCTATGAGAGACAGAGATAAGGAGAATCACACCTTCAATGGATCCTTATACAAGTCTCAAAAAAAATTTTTTTATGGGCCTAATAAGAGCTTAAATGCACGAATACGGGTAAAGCGCTTAGAAGTGTGGCACGTGACGCCCTCGGTGTGTGAGGGTGATGGGCCCGTGCACACACCCAGCATGCTCAGAGGTGCTGGGATGTGGACCTAGGGCTTCCCCATGGGGGTGTTGTATTAGTGCTACACCACCATCTAGCCATGAGGCACTGCTACTATTGAGACCGAATGTGGTTAAGACCCTCCAGGCTCTATTCTCTGAACCTGCTGCTTCCTGCTCCCAGAATGGCTTTTTCTTTCTAACTATTCCATTTCTTTTCTGAGTCACTCAGAATGTGATCGGAATTCTTGGTTACACAAAAACTATGAGGAAATCTAATGGAAATCAGAGTAGTAGCTTCTGCTATCTGATAAGGAACATGCTAAATCAAACCCCACACAATGCCCAACGTCTCCTCTCAAACATGAAACATAGAACATAGTTATGAATAAGCAAAACATTTCAGGGTTAAAAGTGTAATTTTATTTAGATGTTACTTGTACATAATCTATAGTAAGATATACAAACAGATAAAAATTGTTTAACAGGAGTTCTTTTAATACCATTTTAAGTTCAATTTACAACAGCATTGGTAATACTGCAAGATGACAGATACTCTGATTTAGAAAACAAAACTTACTTGCTACTCTGGCTGATACATTCCCACTAATCTGTAATGGATTAAAATGTATCATGTACTTCAGTTGCAAATTATCACAAAACTTTCACAACCTAACCACTTGGTATTCAGAAAAGATTTAGATGTTCCAAAAATTTACTGAAATGAAATGTTAATTTTCTAATAGTATCCTTAGTAAAGAAAAACATAAGTATACCAAAACTTATGGTCTAGGGCTAATAATGCAAAATCAACCATATCGTGTTTATGTAGCTAATGGATGGAGTTATCGCTTTATCCTCTCTAAGTCTATGCAATGAGAAAAAAAGCTTATTAAGAAATGAACTAAAATACAATGGAGAAATAATATTAGGACGATTTAAAACAATCTTACCATTTACAACTATAAATTGTAAAATTTATAGAAATAAAATATACTTTTCCATGTTTTTCTCCATTTGTTTTGCTACATAATTTTTGAAAATGAAAACAGAAAATTCAAAATCGTCACTTTTTTCTTTTTAGGTGATATCACATTAGAAAAGGTATGGATTTAAATTTTAGAATAAATCAAATTAGCTTAAAAAAATCTAAAAATAACCTAACTTGGATTTTAGTCATTTCCCAGTCTTTTAAAGGTTATGGAACACATCAGGGCAAACAAAAGCTTTCCTCTAAAAAATCAAGTTGAAAATAACCTGTTGGTTAAGCTATAAGAAGACAACCAATAATGGGCTCATGAATATTTATGATTAAAGTGCCACTAATTTTATTGTAACGAGATATAAATAGAAGATATCCTGACATGGACAGTAACTTTATTACCTCTCTATCCTGAGAACAGAAGGGCCATCAAAAACAAAGAAGCATTACTAAATATAAGTTCCAAAATATATTGGTAATTCCTAAAACAAAAGTAACAGTAAAGACAAACTATTAAAATAAAGGCAAAATAAGACTTACTTAAAAAATGGTAAAAAGTCTCAAGAATAAGACCAACACAGTAGGCCTCTACACTGAAAAAGAAAAATGAGAGAAATTTAAAAATTCATTGGTAATTATTATTCATATTCAAGATATAAGTTCCAAAATATATTGGTAATTCCTAAAACAAAAGTAACAGTAAAGACAAACTATTAAAATAAAGGCAAAATAAGACTTACTTAAAAAATGGTTAAAAAGTCTCAAGAATAAGACCAACACAGTAGGCCTCTACACTGAAAAAGAAAAATTAGAGAGAAATTTAAAAATTCATTGGTAACTATTATTTATATTCAAGAAAATGTTAGTGACAGCCCAGTGGTGAGCAGCTTCAAGAAGAGGAGTTTAAGAAGTGCCAAAACAGCTGGTAGAGCTGAGAGGACAGGTACATAGCACGGCATGGTCTTGGAAAGGGGAAGTAGATGGTAGGTTTTGAGAATTTAAAATCGGTGTGACTAAGCCCAACGGATTGGTGCTAGATAATGCCAGAAGCCACACCGGCGTCCATGTGGAAACCCACAGACATGACTTGGGAGGCTGGACAGTTTCCTTGGGAACTCACTAACAAAAGCCCAGTAGTCACCCGTCCTGCCCATGTCCCTACTATCAACCCTGTCATCTTTTCTTTGCGAGTCTCCCTCTCATCGTAACTGGGAGTCACTAACAATTGCAATCTGTTTGAAATACTGTAAATAGGTTAGAATACCTCCATAATTACAGTGTTTTGGCGTTTTTATGAAGTCCTAGCTAATATCAAAGCCTAGGGCATTTATTTATTTGGAGTGAAGTTACCCTTACCCAAAATTACACGTCACTTCGTCCTTGAGTTTTCTAAGAGTGGTCTTAGCCAGGAAATGAACTCCATAGGTCTCTAGTATCACCATGTGGGGAGAACAACAGGAAGAGTAGAGGTGGAAGTGAGCGCTCTGCTGCGGCTACAGGTCTAACCGAGGTCCTGTGGGGGGCTTCACATTGAATGTGCAAAGACAGTGTGAGAAAAGGGAACTGTGTGCTTCTAAGACAGGGCCAAGGCCCTACTCATGGGACTGATCCCTAATCTGGCCACAGCACCGTGAAAAGTGAAAGGCGTCAATGTCTACTTTCAGCCAAACCTAAGCTTTTAAGCTTCAGACCAAGTGGAGCAAAGTGCCGACTAAAGCACTCTCTGTTGTGCTCTGAGGAGCTCAGAACTCCTACAAGTCTCATTGAGGACACAGCTCCCAGGAAATGAAGCGAGCGGTCTCCTTGGCATCCGAGCCCACACGCAGCGGCTCTGCCCGGCTCGGCTGAGGCGCCTGGGCTGCTCACGTCTGTTCCAGCTGACTGTGCCCAAGCTGTGAGGGCTGGCAAATACTGTGTCATCCCCCATGGTCTGAAGGAGAAAAGACCCTGTTCTCCATTTTCATTACTACTGAGCTGCTGAAACCTCTTATAAAAATCATTGACAAACATTTACTAAATGAATGCCCCTGGGGACCCTGCCTGACAAGGGCCTTTCGATTTCATATTTGACAAGGGCGTGCAAAGACAGTATAATTTTTCAACAGAGCATTCACATTCACTCAGAGGCTTCCAAGCCAAGAAACTGAAGGCAGAAACATTTTGATTCTCCTTCGGTATTAAACTTTTCCCTCTAGAACCTACTTCCTCTGAAACACATTTTAAAAAGAAAAAAAAAAAACAAACAATATCACTGACTGATTGGAAGACATCACTTGGACAGTCATTAATCTTGCAAAGACCTAACACCAGGCAGCTTCACAAACACACAGCAAGTCTGCAGAATTATAATGATCAATAAGAATAAACCCAAACTGCACTAGATACTTTCATGGCCAAGAAGAAAGCAAAATGCTGTTTTCAGGACAATGCAATAGTTACAGCATACTTCCTCAGGTCAGCACAATTTGCTATGTTTAGTGGCACTTAAGTATTACACAGTAAATACTGAAAAAACCCAGGATTTTTGGATGTGCAGAAGCAATATCACGTTATTAATACAAAAGGTGCTAAGCTACGGGATTATATACCACTATTGGGGTGCTCAGCCCTCTTAGCATCTTCACACACCTCAAACGCATGGCTCCCGGCTGGCGGCCAGCCCCCTCCAGGCTGCCCACCTGCTGCACGTGGCGAGCTTCCAGCACCGCCTCAGTCGGACCAGTCGTTCTCGTCAAACTCAGAGTCGTCGTCAGAATCGCTGTACTCCACAGCGATGCGCCTGGACAGGATGGTGGCCACGTCGTTCCCGACGGGCTCGCGCTTGGCCTCTTGCTCACGCTGCTCCTGCACCTTCTTCAGCTGAATTCCTAGAGGTAAGATAAGTAGGATCAAAACCCTGTATTTGCTCCAAACTTAAGGAAAACAAGCTATCGTCTACTGAGCTTTTTCCTCCTACTGACAGTAAAAATTAAAAATTTTAGAAATCTGAGGGGAGAAAAGTTGGAGAAATATTGGAAGCTTCAAGACCAAAAAAAAAAAAAAAAAAGAATGTACAAAGTAGTAACATTTTTTACAGCACCATATTGAAATATAAAATGTAAATGCAGCTATAATTCCAGTGTACACAAATACTATTAAAGAAAAATCTATAGCTGCACTGTCCAACATGTAGCCCCTAGCCACATGCAGCTTCTAAATATAAACTGATACATGGCTAGTGCCCGCACACTGGGCAGCACAGGCTGTAACACTTCTGCCATCACAGATTGTCTTACTGGATGGTGCTGAAATGGGAGGTTTGGAAAACAGTGTTCAATACTAATGGCACTCACATAACCTAACGAGATACCAGAATTATTGTCCAAACAATTACTGTTAAAAATGAATAAAATGCAACCGTCACAGCTAAGCTTAGTTAGTTAACAAAACAGGATATCCGATGGCCTAATGCTTATCATTTCTTAATTTTTCATTTGAAAATAATTGCAGATTTACAGAATAGCTCAAACACTAGTAGAAAAACATTCCCATACATAGCAATACATAGCAGTCCCTCCTTATCCATAGTTTTGGTTTCCATGGTTTCCTGTAGTTGGCAGCAGCCCAAACAGCGGTGAGAAAGAGATCACATTCACTCAACTTTTACTATAGTATATTATTATAATTATTCCATGTGATTATTAGTTATAGTTGTTAATCTTTTACTGTGCCTGATTTATTAATTAAACTTGATCATAAGTATGTATGTATAGGAAAAACACAGTAAAGAGTTCAGTACAATGGTTTCCAGCACCCATTGGAGGTCTTCAAATGTATCTTGGAGAGAAGTGGGAACCACCAAACCCTGCACCCAGATTTCCCAACTAATAATACTGGACCACATTTGTTTCACAATCTTTCTCTTTCTCACACACATAGACACTTTTCTCTGGGCCATTTGAGAGCAGGGGCATACAATGTCCCCTTACCCCTAAAATACTTTTATGTATATTTACTTTGAAATGAAAACCAGCAAATTATTTAATACTACCACCTACTGTACAAATTTTTATCTGATTTTTTCAACAGACCAAATTAAATTGCCCATGAAAAAATTCCCCCTGGTTCACAATCCAAGGCAGTATCACCCTGTTAACATCAGTTGTCAAGTTTTGTTAACATCCTTAAATCTGTACAGTTCTTCAGTCTTTGTGTTGCATGACCTTCAAGCTTCTGAAGAATACAGGCAGCTACTCTGTACATGATGTTGATTTAGATACGTAAGATACCATTTTCCTTGTGATTATTTCTAGGTCATGGATTAACTCATATTAGACAGGGCTTACCAGTTTCAAAAGGCACATCTGGGCTGGCCACACAGCACAGTGGGAGCCAGCTATGTAGAGGAAGCCAGCTCCCACAGGGCTGACCATGGTTTGAGTCTCAGCCCTGGCAACCTAAAAAAACACTGTGTGTGCATGCCCAGGATCCTCATGGGATGGAAAATTAAAGGCCTTGTGGTGCAACCAGGCCCTGCTAGGGGTGATTTTTCTCTCTCTTTCTCCCTCTCAAGTGTGCACAAGTGCCCTCTGCCATTAAGAATGAAAAAAGCGAATCCAACACTGTCCTACTATGACCTCACATTTTTTTCCATGAGGTGTTTTTCTCTGGGTATTTTTTTCTTGACAAAATCAAAGTGCACCAATGATGTTCGAGCTGTGCAGAGGCCCTGGGGTCTTCAGGAGACCTGATTCATAGGTGCCGAAGCAAATGGCAGAGACAGCACTGTCACAGCTGCCCCAGGAGGACGTCACCAAGGCTGAGCCTGTGAGGCTGGAGCTGGGGTCCTCTCTCAGACTGTGCCGACTGAGCTGTGGCCAGAGACAGGGACACTCCCCACAGTCGGAGAAGCTCCTGGGATATTCCCACATGCTACTGGTGCCACTTGACCAACCTGGCTTTGACCTTATTAAGAATAAATGGTGTGGGGGAGCCAGCAGGTGGCGTGGTGATTAAGGTGCTAGATTCCCATGTAGATGACCATGGTCTGAGTCCCAGACCCAGTGGCTTAAAAATCACTCTGGCTATATGTGCATGTCCCAGGAGGAAGAGAAGAATGGAGAAGAAACGTGCAATGGCCATCACCCCGGGGGAGTGATTTCTCACCTACCTACCCTCTTTCTTACTTTTCCTTCTCTTTGTCTCTCTCCACAAGTGCACGTGCCCTATAGCAAAAACTTAGAAGAAGAAGAAGAAGAAGTAAATGCTGTGGTATGGAGGTTTCCTGTGGGACTCTAAGCACAGGTTCACACAGGTGGCCCATGCACCCTGGCCTGATTCCACCCAAGAAACTTCGCTTCTTTACATTTTGGGGTCTGGGGTCAGTGAGGACTCAGCCTGACAAGGGGTTGTGCTGTTAGGCAAATGCAGGAACATCATCGCCCTGGGCACATCAAGCTAAAAATAGGACGGCTTCAGGACATACCCTAGATTTAAAACAAAACAAAACAAAAAAACACTAAATCATTGGTATGTACACTTTCTTCCACTTGTACTTTTATCCTGAGAGAAGAATGCAAAGGAAACAGTCCAGTTAATTAGGCAATCACTTCTGTAACTCAGTTTCTACTGGATTGTTGGAAAAGTCATGGCACATTTTTACATAGAAAAACTTAGAAAAATACGTCATGACTTTCCTGACAATCCAATAGCTGAGTAAGCTTTCCTGAATGCTCAATCCTTTATCTTGATGGGTTTACCTTGCACTGGAAAAAAAAACACACCTAGTACTTAAAAAATTAATAAATAATAAGTGTCTTTTAACCCTCCTCTCAAAAACAATACAACATAGGGAGTAGCCACTTTGAAGATGAAGCAGCTGTAGCTGGTTAGACACAGAACCCATGGGAGGGAGCTGTGTGTTTGGGGCACTTTACTTACCCATTCGAATAGCAGCAAGGAGGTCACTTCGTGCGTCACTTATTGGTGGCTGTGAGGGCTCCGGACGCTTTGCCTCAGCCGCTGGGGGCCCATGCATTGGGGAGGATGACAGAGAAGAGCCAGGGCCAGGAGGGCCTGGCGGGGGAGGTGGGGGGCCTGGAGGTGGTGGGGCTGTGACCAGGAGCCCGGTGGCAGGAGGGTGTGGAGGGGCTGAGTAGGTGGAGCCGGCTGCTGTGGGAAAGGAGGGTTGAGTGGGGATCTGGAGAGGGCTGACAAAAGCAGTCTGTGCAGAAGGAATCATGGGAGGAGGGGGTGGAGGGGGTGGGCCGGCCGGGTTGTAATACTCAATGATCTGCGCTGGGAGCATCCTGATAAAAAGAGGAGACACACAGACACCAACGTATCAGTAAGGGTCGCATCCTCTGGTCTTACCAGGCCTAATGGAAAGCCTTCCCCAAGACATAGTACCTAAGAGGGGACCGCAGAAACTTCACAGAAAAAAAAAAAAAAAAACAGAATTAAACTACAAGTTTATTTTGGTTCAAAAATTTTGAAATTTTCCTAATACATATCTTCTAAGAACTTTTTGAAGACCCCTTGTGCTGGAATTTAAATCATGGCCAATTGCAAACATCCATCTGGGTTAGCTATTTCCGTAGTTCTATTGGGTCAAAGGAAAATTCATGATGTATTTTTCTATGCAAAAACATGTCATGACCTTTCCGATGACCCAGTACATTATTTATTATGAGGAACTCAAGGCCTTCTAATCAAACATGTCAAGATGAGAAGTGATTTTCTCTGGAAAGTTAGACACAGTGTCCAACCTCGTAGGTCAGGACAGCAACACCAGTATGTTCTTCATACCGGTCATCTCCACAGCGGGCGGCTCCCAAGCTTACCCTCTAAGGGCTCTGTGGTTGCCCAGACGGGAAAAGACTACGTTCTCTTGCCCACCCCCAGGGAACTCCCATGCTCGCAGGGCCTGAGGGCATATCAGAAGTGTTGAAAGGTCTAACCATAAAGAAATGTGCTGAATTCTGTAACTGTTTTCCAAACCAGCTGGATAATGGACCCTCTCCACCAGACAGTAACAGTCTCGGAATACTCCCTGAAATCTTGTCTTGGTAAACCAAGAGGTAGAAAGTACTCGGAACTGCACGGTCAGAGAGAAAATTCCTGACAGCTGAGGGACACGTGTCCCTAGAGGGATACCCACCGTTCTGGCTGGAAGAACATGCATGCTATAAGGAAGGGTTGTATTTTCAACTCCCTGGACATCCACTCCAAGGGGTGAATAGTTTAAGGTCAGAGTTAATCCAAAAAAGAGAGCTAAGGTCAATCAAAATATGGGTGGGTGTTTGGGATAAACACTTGAACACAAGGGTCTTTTTAAGGACGGTGTTTGTGCTTACCTGTAAGTCAGAAAACAAGAGGGCCTGGGGGCAGAATGAAATCAAGAAATGGGACTATCAATGTCAGGTCAAGAAAAGGCCAAGGGTAAGAACCAACACGGGACGAAGGGGCTACATTAAATGGTATTCTCATCTGTGATAAGAATTCTGTGGAGGGAAACTTGAGGATTTGGAGCAGGTTCATGAAATCAGCATTTTGTCCTTTATCAAAGCCTAGGCTTAGAGATCCTTCAAACAAAAGTAAGCATGACTAAGTGCGTATATAAAAGGAATGCATATCCTAACACAGACATAAACCTGAGTTTTAGCTGTCACCAAAAGGGAAAGGTGGCAGGTGCTGTACCTCCTTTGTTTCACAGAGAATTTGTCATAACTAAGAGAATCTACATCCAGTCATTCTTAACTATACTTTGGCCTTGAAAATATCAAAGTGACAGTTCTCCTGCCATACACGGCAGGATTCAAATGCAAGAGCAAGTTGGCAGTAGAGCATAAGAAATGCTGATTTACCCGTAGTCTGCTGGAGCCATGGGTGCAGAGGCCTGGGACCCCTCAGGGGCCTGCGGGGGAGGCGGGGGTGGTGGCTGCTGAGGTCTGTTTAGGGCCATGTGCCTTGCTGAGGCAGAAGGGGGCCGGTACTCATGTTCTGGAGCCTGGTTTGCGGGCCCATGCGGTGGTGCATCACCAGCTGCGTAGGAAGGGGTCACTGGCTGAGGGTGTAGAGAATGGTTGGGAGTAGCCGGGTAAGAGTAATCTGTAACATCCGACGCGTGGGACCTGACATTTGAGAGAAAAGGGGTGGGAGAAATTTAAATTAAGTTTTTAAAATTCCCCCTAACAGGCACAGTGCATATTTGAATAATGCCACTGCCAAATGCACAGAAATCAGACATGTATATTTCTTTTGCTATCAACTAGGCCTGGCCCCGTGAGAGCTTCCGAGCAACAACATAATTACTATCTTAGCAGCAAGCCCCGGTGTTACATGAATTCAGAGTCACAGCTCTGAAGTGAGTAAGGCAGAGAGATCTGCAAGCAGGAGACAGCGGAGCCTCGTTTTCACGGCATTTCAACATACTTCCTCTCTAAGAGAAGGCTACAAGACAAATTTCATTTAGTAGAGAAACTACGTCTATGACAGACAGGATTTCAGTGGCAATGAAACTGACAGCATGTAATTAGAAAAAATAAAATGGCAGGTGAGCTGGATAAATATTAACAGTAAGAACAGAAAAAGAAATCAAGAATGCGATGTAGTGAATCGTATTTTTCTTAAACAAAAGAAATTTCTTTCACATAGAGGGATGCAGTGTGGAGTACTATGGAAAGGCCTTCTTGTTTTCTTTCAGTGCAGAGCTGAGTGAGAAACCCTGAAAGGAATGGAGTTGTGGATTAGTTGAGCAGAGTTGAGAAAGATGCTGGGGTGCTGAGATGCCAGCTGAGCCCTCGCCGGTGGGTGAGGACTCGTGCATGTGGAAGCCACGCAGCGCAGTGGGCATTAGTACGTCACACGCTGGCCCGGGTTACAGCGCAGTGTCAGTAGGGGCTGCACATCCTCTCGTGATGGCTGAAGCAGGGGCAGGCCTGACGCTGGGAACCCAAAGAAAGCAAAATGACAAACCCTCTGGGCGCTCTGTCCTCTTTCCTGCTCCCTGCCTGTTCCAGGTTCTTTGCGTCACTCATAAACTCAATGCCCATTTTCCTCCTCTCCCACTCTTCTTTTCTTGTTCTGACTTTTCTCACGTTTACTTGCTGGTTTCTGTTAGGATTCAGCTTGTGTTTCTCTCTCTGAAGGAAATACGCAAACACACATTGGGGATGTGGGGAGCAGGGAAGACACAAACTGAATTTAGATCTTGGCGACTTCAGACAGGAGCTCCCCTTAACTGGAGTATGGAGTGGCACAGAAACGCTTGCTAAATGAAAAGAGGCTTTCCCCACTTTTTCCTTCCTTAATTGTACTTTAATCATAACTAATAACTTTTTTCCTCCATAACTGCAGGACGAATTCTAGAGTAAGGTATGCAAAATGCTGGTAAATGAGTTAATGACATTTTTAAACCTGACCTGTTCTTTATAAAAACAAATACCTAAAACTCTACGGTCATGGACGACATGTGCGTGCCTATGTCACTGACTACTGTGCATGCTCTTCTAATGGCGGAGTGCTTCTGATGGGACGAGGCTGAGAAGCAGTAAATACCGTGGCCTCACTGAGAGGGATTCCCCTGTGGAGTAGCTTTATGACACACGCCAGAAAGAGCGAAGTAAGGGGATGAACCACAGGGAGTGGTAGTAAAGGAAGAGGCAATAGATGTTTGACGGAGACATCAAAGCAGATTTCTAGAGGGAAGACTCTGACGACAGGCGACCATCATGTGGACTGGGCAGAGGAGAAAAGCTTGGTATGCTGAAGAGGGAAGGACCACAGAAAATGAGGACACAGAGGGCAGGAGGAAAGGGCAGAGGCAGGGCAACTGCCAGAGACAGTTTCCCAGTGAGGCACTGCAGCTCTGCCCGCACGGGGGTGAGCAGGGCGGCCTGAAGCTCTGTGACCATAAACAATCATCTGCTACAGAGGAGTGGTAGGGGCAGAGACGATTCTGAAACAGGAAACAGAGCAGTGGGACTCAGTGGGAGCGTCCCATAAGTCCCCCAGGGTTTCTCGGGTAGACATGTGGGCAGAGTTGGAGAGCTGTGACAGGGCCCAGAATTGAATGCAGGAAAAACAAGGACAGCTGGGCATGGATGGAGGTCTGATGCTTCCTGAATAATAGCAAAAGAGAGCTGGTTATTCAGTAGGGAAGCATTCCATCAATTCTCAACTTAAATTCACACTTAGAAACCATTCCTAACAACTGACAGAGAGAGGCAGACAGAGAGCTTACACGGACTGGGTTAAAGTACAATACTTATATGAACGGCTTAGATACATGCCGTGGCACTTGAGACTTCAATTTCCCTGAGTATCTTCAATACACTCAGATGAAAAGTTACAGTAATTAAAAACTAGATTTCTAAATAATACATGAGTGATAACAAAAGTCAAAAGAAAGAAAACAAAGCATGATTCTGATTTTGTAAAAGAAAAAACATACGCATATACAGAAAAATACCAAAAAGAATTACACTAAAATGTAAATAGTGATTTCTCGGGATGGTGAGACTATGGAGAATATTTCACTTAGATTTTTTTCTGTGATTTCCAGATTTAATAAGCATGTCTTATTTTATAATTAGGAAAAAAGTGACACATTTTAGTAAATAAAAATTTCTAAATTAATGTAAGAAATATAATCCAAATATAATGATGAATTATAATCTGTATATTTGTTAGAAAATAATAAATGCAAATAGTGAGAGTCCATGGGGAATAATATGAGACAATAGGAAATCCTAAAGAGATAAAATGTAAAATACTGTTTGCTTTTTGAAACATAAGAGAAATGAAAATATACCTAAACAACAAAAATACAAAGACAAAATACTAAATAATCTGAAGGACCATCAATTTCATACCCAACATGCAACATGTAATCTCAGAAGCAAGAATGAGTATCAATCATTAAACTAAGGAGTTAAAAAAAAAAATCACTGGGACCAGCAGATGGCATAATGGTTATGTTGCTGGACTCCCACGTAGTCAACCACGGTTTGAGTCTGCAACCCAGTGGCTTCAAACTCATGTCGGGCATGTGTATGTGCATCCCCAAGATCCCAAGAGGAGAACAGAAGAGAAGGGATTGCAGTATGACCATCTCCCTGGGCCCATCGGGATGGGGAGGTCTGATTTCTCACTTTCTGTCTGTCTGGAGAGCGCACATACCATATAGCAAAAATCTCTCTTAAAAAAGAAAAATAATTTGTACATCTGCTTTTGTTAAAAAAAAAAAAGTGTATGTGGGATAAAAATAAATATTTGGGGCTATGGATGGTGTTGTGGTTAAGGTGCTGGACTCCCACAGAGCTAACCACAGTTCGAACCCCAGACATAGTGGCTTGAAAATCATACTGGGTGTGCATGTCTAAAATCCTGAGAACGGAGAAGTGAATGTAGCATGGTCATCCCCCTGCTGCACCTCATGACCTCTCCACCCCTCATCTCTCTCCATCTCTCTCCAGCAAGCACATGTGCCCTGTGGCAATAACCTAAAAAATAAGTAAATACAAATTTCAATTATTTGGAAAAAAGCAAAACAGCAAATTAACATCATGGGAGGTATGAGGTTCATGTACCTCTCCCTCCCTACCAAAGAACTATGTGCAGAATTCTATCAGCATTCTTATTTTATATAGAAATAAACTGACACTGGGCCTAAGGGAGTCAGATCCCACATGCCCGAGCATCCTTGCCCCAGTGGCTTGAAAAATACGCCCAGATGTGTGTTTTTCCCAATGGGATGGAGAAATGTAGGAGAAAGGATTATTGTGATCATGCCCCACCGAGGGCGCTTTCTCCTTTTCTTGTTCTCTCTGGGAAGCGCTCATGCCCATTAGCAATTAAAAACAAAATCCCATGACAGTAAATTTCAAACTTCAGGCTAGAACTCAAGCAAAGTTCCTATAATTCTCTAGTATTTAACAAAAAAAGTACCTAAAAATTACCTACTTGCATCACATCCTACTGATATTTACAGACTTTATGATTAGAAATATTTAAGGCACTATAAGTACCAAATAAGCTCTTCCTTACACAGCAAGTACTCATGAAACACCTTCTAAATGAGAGCCTACTGAATACTGAGGTTACAAAGGTAAAAGAAAAATATATATATAACTATATAACATAAGATACAGTTGTTACTGTTTTGAGACATTCTTAAGTCACCTATCGTAACAATTTGTCATTTTGAAATACTGCTAGACGACTTCAAGAGTTATGCAAATGAAAGACTAGCAAATGAAAGACTATCAGAAATAGGAAATTAAACCAAAAGTTAAAATTGACGAGTCCCTGTCACTTAATCCCTTTTGTGACGAATGTGACTTAGTGACCATCCACATCATTCACATCTGCAAGAAATATTTTTACTTAACTGCTACCAAATTTTTAAATTAAACTCCGACAAAATTCTCCTCCTGAAACTAGAATACATAAGATTAGTTATCTGAAGTAAGAAATAATTTTCTATCACTTTTTGAAAGTTACTATTAAAAAAAAGGTATTCCTTAGTCACATTAATTATCACCTACCAGTCATTTTTACATAGCAAAGGACATTCAAAATTCTAAGCTAAAGAGAAAACATTAAATCATTAAAATAAAAATTTAAGTCATGGCAGTTACCCCCAATTTAGAATCGATTAAAACACTACATATCTAGATTAACTGAACAATAAATTTAAGTCAGAGAGATTTAAAAACAAAAATCAAGCAAGAAAAAAAAAAAAGATCCCAATGTAAAATAACAGAGTCTTGAAGTATTATTTCAAAACAAATATATATATTTTGTTTTAAGAAAAGTTTTGACATATATAATGGGTCACATAAACCCCAATGTTGCAGGTACATTTCCAGTGTATAATAAAACCCATAGTACCCAGTGGCCCAGAGCACCGGGGATGAGGGAGCTATGACACTCACACACCTAGTGTCTGGGGACAGGGATCCCTCGGAAGACGCTCCGTGGTACACACTCTGAGACAACCTGTTGTCGGGTCTAAGCTCTTTGTCATATGCCATCATATTCCACTCCTGGCGCCTGTTTCTGGCTTTTCTAACCTTTTTCACCTCACGGGTGGTGCCGTCTATACGTTTTTGCTCCTGATGCGCAGGGAAATAAAGAAAGCATGCCGAGACAGAGGGAAAGGAAAACAGCACGTTAGATGTGGTTACAATGCACAGGAAACGAGACCAGAGATGTTCACATTTCAATTACTCTACTGTTAAGAAAATCCTAAAGAAGCACGCTCCTTCTTCCCAAAGATCCAACAAAAAGTAGCTGATACTTAGCCCTTTAATCTAGCTCCACAGAAAGCAACTGTGCTCCAACTACAAGAGCTGCTTCCTTCGTTCTCAGGAAAGAACTCTCAGGAGGCTTGTGGCTTGCAGGAAACGTACTGCCCACTTCTCACCCACGTTATGCAGGCGAGGTACTGGCACGGACATCCTTTCCCACCACTCAAGTAGTCTGACTTAGCTGTCTTTCAAAGAAAATTATTTGAAATGTCCTAGTCCCCATTTCTAAAAGATGATTATAGAAAGTTTAAGCTAACCTGATAACCAGTTTAACACAAAACAAAACAAGATAAAAACTTACCTGTCCACAGACAAAGTGCCATTCTTACTCCAGCCCTACTTTGCCAGGGAAAATGTACTCAGTAAATACTTAGGTCCTGCATAATAAGCATGTCCTTAAAGGTGAGGACAGTTATTTCTACATACGGCTGTATGTTCTTCCTACTTCCCTCACAAGATTTCATGACCTCAAGGACAGGAACATTTATTTTAACTTCCTACAGTGCCCTCGATGTTACCTCAACACACTGTTTTATATAGAGTACGTGCTCAGTAAGTGTTGGCGGGGCGATCAGACTCACAGCCAGGCTAAACAGGAGCTACTAGTATAGCCAGGCACAGTGCACGCTCTCGTATTTCAAATATACTTATGTCACTTACATGTCAATTATTTCATGTTATATATTGATGTAGGAGGACACCAGAAAGTTGATGAAAACTGAAATTCAAGTATGTATTTATTTTTATGCAAAAATGTTGAAATCCATGCCTAGTTTTTTCATAATATATATTTTCCAGGAACTTTTTGAAGACCTCGCATATCATATAAATATTTTATATTTACACTTTCGTGTTTCAAGATTATATATAAATAAAACATCTAGACTGGAAGTCAGGGCAGTGTTCTGCAGTGGCTAGACCAAGATCTGTGGTGTGAGGTGGGCATTCACTCTATAGAGAGACAGGGGTCAGCTCGGCTTCATGCCAGCAAGCAGGAACAGAATATGTGATGGTTCTGAGGAGGAGCGACAGCATTAGAAAAACTGAAAGAAGTTAAATGGTAGGTAAATTTCAAGATTTAAGGGCAGGTGATCTTGAAGGTCATGCTAAAAATTCTGTTTATCCCCAGGAACAATGGAAAACCAATGAAGAATGAGAAGCAGGGGCTGACCTACAGAGGAGACATATGAAACGATCCTTCCATGTTGTGGACATTGGTTTAAAAGGGGAAAGACAGTTAGGGAGCTCTGAAGGTGGTGTAGGTGAGAAGATGCAGACAGCTCAAGTCTGGAGTGAAGACAGAACAGAATTATTTTCAGAGGTCTTCAGGAAGCTTTGGAAAGGGAATTGCAAAGGATCTGAGTATGAAACTCATAAATGATATAAAAAGGGTTAATAAGGATATGAAATTAGGTGAAAGGCACAGTGGGGAGGGTTCACAAAAAGTAATCATATCTGAGACTAAGAGAAGGCCTGGCAAAGAATAAACAAAGAATAAATCTTTTAAAGGTCAAGGGCAATATGATTGTATCATTCAAAATATAAAACTCACATTCTCATCAGTAACAGCAATTCAACTTGTAGAAATTTATTCTGAAAAAATATCTGGATATAAATACAGGGGCTGTAATATCAACAATTTAGAACCAACCTATATTCAAGTTAGTAATATATAAATAATTTATCAAACACTCATATTTCACAACAGTACACAAAACTTGAAAAGAATGAAGCACCTCTTTAATAGGGCCTGCGTGTATGCACATGAGCCATGTACGGCACAGTTCTAGGTATAAAAAATAGTTAGTAAAATGTGTCTGCATTTGTGGATGTTTAAAAAGTCTAAAAGATGCACTCCAAACTGTTAACAGGGGTTAGTTATTTCCTGAGAGAGGAGTGCCTTCATTTCTTTCAGTGCTATTTGAGCATTTTATAACAGCATATACTGATTATATACTTTTAAAAATCAAAAGGAAAAAAGAAAGGAGGGAAATTGCAACACGATTCCAGTATGTTTTATTTAAGAACTGCTGTTAATAACTATTACTCTTACTGTTCAAGAAATGTATACCAACATAATCAGAGGTTGAATGTTAAGGTATCTGTAACTTTCTTTAAGCCCCCAAATCTCCTATCAACACGTATATAAGACACACACACACAAATACATATACACAAACCAAGACAAAATATTAACAATGAAGAATTTATACTCTTGTACACTGGCCTTCCTTTAAAATCCCTTTAAAAAAAAAAAAAAAAAAAGCCAAACTGTTTCCTACCCCAGGAAGATCTTAGGTATCTCCACCTAGAAGGCTTCTTGATTCTGAAGCATCCTGTGTGTCATCTCCCCTCCTTCCAGCATCCCAGCCTTATCACACCTACCTCTGTTTAGCCGACTTCTTTCATCCACCCTTTGAATCTGTTTCTTTGACACCGCCTCAGAGAGGCTTCCCTGACACAGCCCCTGCATGTACATGACCTCATCTGGTCACCTCATGCACTGGACTCTGCATTTCCCTCACATTTCCCAAGTCACCGCACACTTAAAATGTCACATTTATTTGCATATCATTTTAAAAAGTGTTCATAAAGCATCAAACTAAAGGAAACTAAAATTTCAGAAACAATGAAGGGCCAGATGGTGGCACGGTGATAATGGAATTGCACGCACATGGGAAAGGTCCTAGGCTCACATCCTAGGGCCTCCCTGAGCACTCTAGGCAAGCTTGTGCCTAAGATCCAGGCCAGCGAAGTCTGGGGGTGGATTATGGAGAAGGGACTCTGCTGGGAGTGCCAGTCTCTCTCTGTCTCTGTCTCTCTCACTGTTGCTGCCTTTTTCTCTCTCTCCATCATGGAAAAATAAATAAATGAACATTTTTTAAAAAGGATTTTGTGTCCCCAAATTTTCTAAACTCATTTTCCTTCAGATTCATCAACTGCAACATGATGTGGACTTTTGAAATTTAGGAACAAAGGCTATCTTGTCTCTTCTATTCCTACCAGAAGCAGCCTTATATTCACAACATTTTCGAGCTTCTCTTTCTCTGATTTCCCAAAAGTTGCATATTGTGTCCCCACTATATTGTAATCTCTAAAAAGGTAATAATCCTGTCTTATTTTTTTCCACTACAGTTTATCCAGCATTTAGAAGACATTCAACAAAGACTCATTATACAAATGAATGAATAAATGAGAAATTCTTAACAGAATTTTACGTTTTTGAGAAATGTGGAATGAGAAGAAATAGCTGAGGACATGACGATGATTTTGAAGAAACAAAAATCATACATAAAAATTGTTTTCTCGTCAAGAAGAAGGACACACGATTTTTTCCTCAGACAAGATCTTGTTTGTTACGCAGGCCAGTCTCACACTCACGATTCTCCTGCTTCAGCCTCCTGGATTGCTAGGATTACAGCACATACCACCATGCCCAGCCATTAGGTTGGACTGGGAACTGAACCCAGGCCTTCCATGTGGTCCCGGCTTGTGGAGCACAGAGTCTTAGCAGCACACACCACTGCAGCTGGACTAAAATTAAATTTCCACCAAAAGTATCACTGGAAAGGGAAATCCAGAATGCCTTTTAAAGGAGAGGCAAGTTTTAAAGGCAGGTACTCTTAAAAGCTCTAGTGTTTTGTCCTCCTATTTAATCTAGAATTAAAAGAAATATGTCTTTGAATATTTGTTTATTTTCTATTCAAAAGATTAGAATTTCTTTTTCCTTTGCTTGAATGTGTTGTAGAACTCAGCAATTCCAAGATTTCCAAATTAAATCTCCCTGTGCCATGAGCAAACAGAGAGAGGAATCCTTTGGAATCCATCCCCAGAACCCAGTGGTAATATGTTACACTTGCAATGTGTAAACTGTCTTCACGTTCCCTGCCTTAAATTCTGTTTTCAAGTAGAAAATTCTCCTCCTTCCCAAACTTTTGCTCCTACTGGGCCAATAACACCTAAATGCCTGAAACACTAGGCCACCAACCCCCAAAATGCTAAGCATTTATCCTAATTAAAGTTCCCTATTATTTTGCAAGCAAACTGGGTGGTCATTTAAAAAAATTATTTATTTATTATTATTATTATTATTGTTCACCAGAAAGAGAGAGAGAAAGTGATAAAGCAAGCCAACAGGTCGGGACTCAAACTGCAGTCAGTGATGTGGGAGTCCAGCACTTTAACCATCATCATGCCAATTTGCTGGCCCTGAATGAGCATTTTTAAACACAGCTTATAACTAAAAATATTAGCTAACACTTGCCTTAGAGAATTACTCTTCTTCATGTCTTAAAAGTCTAATTTCTGGGCCCTAAAGAGGGAATTTTCAGAAGAGAAATCCCTCAACCTGAGCAGACTGGGCTTATCCCTCCAAGACTGCTTGTAGCACCCATGTTCCTCAACAGACAGATCTGCAAGTCTCTTGCCTACCACTACCCCACAGAGGGAGGCTCATTTTCAGTAAATACTATCACACATGCTTCTCTATCCGATACAAACATCTCACCAAAGACTTAATTACAGCTAGGTGGCAACCCAACAATTAAGAATGTTAAAAAGACAAAAGCACATTATTATATCTGATATGGAATGTTGGCTGCTTTATGAGAATTTTAGAGAACCAGAAAAGAAATGTTACAAAACACTGTTACAAACAAAACTGAGATTTTAGTCACTACTTTGTTAAAGCAAAGCAAGAGGTGGAGAATAAATCAGAAAGTATTTATTGAAAAACAGTATTACCATGTTAGATTGAATTGCTGGGATCTTCATATGCAAAAAGGTAACCTCTAAAAAACTTCAGCACTAAATAAAACATCTCAAGTATTTCAGTAAAGAACTGAGTGATTTATTTCTAAACAAGAATCTCATATACACATTGATACACGCATTCCCCATATGGGAATTATTTACCTTCTGACGTCTTTTCTCTTTCCTTTTGTCTTCTGTGTCCTGTAACATTTTCTCTTTCCACAGGTCAAAGAAGTAGGAAGGATCAGTATAGAACTTCAGCCCATCCTTCTTATCATCTCTATGAATCAACGTATTACAAGTCAGAGAAAAAAAAGAGAGTTAGATACTTTCTTATGGAAGTTAATTTAAACTCTTGAGGTTATAACATCTACATAGTGAATTTTAGTTATCTATACATTATTAAGTCTCTAATTTTCTTATTTGAAAACATGTGGAAATATCCAAGAATTACCTGTCCTAGAATAATTATATTAAAAATATCCTTGCAAATTTAAAATTAGGCATAAAAATTTCCCCAAAAAAGGTCACAATACGGGTCATAAATAGCAATTTTTAATACCTGAATTATTTCAGGAAATGTTTATTCCAACAGAGAGATGGAAGTACAGATAAATGTACTATTCTGGAGCTTCAATGTTACAGGATTAAAATCAGTACTCTACCTTTTTACCAATGTTTGCCCAGTATATATACATTCAATTAGGAAAGAAAGAAAATTTTCGTGGGGTATGAACTGTGATGAGCTCTGTATTTGCAAAGTGGAAATAACCTACAAAGAAACTTTTTTCACTTGCAGTCATTCATTTTAAAGTACTGCTATGATTACTGTGGTCTAAAAACTATTCTGAGCTCCTTACTTATTATAAAATCAATAACACAGCAGATAATATGAATCCAAAATTGTTATATAAATCAGTAGTAATGCTCAAACAATTATGTACATAGAGTACACACTCTGTTCTACTAACGGTTATACAAAGTATTCGCCCTACAGACTGCCTTCCAGAGGAAGTAGAACAATTACATTTCATATTACTATTTCAACAAGTCATTTAAGACACAGAGGGGAAACAAAATCAGTTACATGAGTAACAAATGAGTTTATGCCTAAATAGTGAAAGGAAGTTAACCAAATGATTCAGGAGGAAAAAAGTCGTCTGTCCATAAGAGTCCCTTGTCTGCATACCATATCTGCCGAGCATCTCACCATCAAACACTAAGGCCATGGCTATAAGGCGTTAAGTACTGCTGTGTCTGAAATCGCTAAAGAACCAGTGTAACTCAGTACTTTAAACTTTGATTATTTCATCCTGGCTTTAGCAGGTACAGAAGACAATGGATTATCATCTTCATTGCTATAATGTGTTAAGCATTATATGTTAGTAAATATCAATAGATATTGATATTTGTTTCAGGTGGAAATATTCTTTGGGTTTCCATTTTGAATATGTTTGGACTAAACAAACAATAAGGTACTTATGTTTGCAGCATTTATCTATGTTCCTATTTTAATCTGTAGCTTTACTTTCCAAAATTTCTAAAAATCTTAATTGATAAGTCACCCATCTGATAGAGATTTTTATTAAAAACATTATGGTTAAAAAGAAAATTTGTCTCCCTAAGATACTAGGACCTTAAATACAGGCAAAGGCAGGGCTAGTAGGCAGTATGGTGGTTAAGGCAATGGATTCCCATATGGGTGATCACAGTTCAAGTCTTTGACCTGGCAGCTTGAAAACACCCCAGGCATGTGTGTGTGCATGCCCAAAATCCTGAGAGGAGGATGGAGGAGAAGGGACTGTGGTGTGGTCATCCTCCCTGGGGGGCAATTTCTAAGCATTATATGTTAGTAAATATCAATAGATATTGATATTTGTTTCAGGTGGAAATATTCTTTGGGTTTCCATTTTGAATATGTTTGGACTAAACAAACAATAAGGTACTTATGTTTGCAGCATTTATCTATGTTCCTATTTTAATCTGTAGCTTTACTTTCCAAAATTTCTAAAAATCTTAATTGATAAGTCACCCATCTGATAGAGATTTTTATTAAAAACATTATGGTTAAAAAGAAAATTTGTCTCCCTAAGATACTAGGACCTTAAATACAGGCAAAGGCAGGGCTAGTAGGCAGTATGGTGGTTAAGGCAATGGATTCCCATATGGGTGATCACAGTTCAAGTCTTTGACCTGGCAGCTTGAAAACACCCCAGGCATGTGTGTGTGCATGCCCAAAATCCTGAGAGGAGGATGGAGGAGAAGGGACTGTGGTGTGGTCATCCTCCCTGGGGGGCAATTTCTCACTTTCTCTCTTTCTCTGTCTCTCTGGCGAGTACATATGCCTTGTGGCAGGAAAGGAAACAAACAAACAAACAAAAACACTGATGTATGTATATACATACATCAGGCAAAAGTATAGAAAAACTGAGTTAAAATTTTGTGTAACTTTAAGATGTATAAATGCACATTTCTTTTTAAAAATGGAGTGAATACTTTAAAGAAGGTGGAAACTCACTTAAGTAAATACATGTTGACATTGGTATAAGAATATAAGCAGATATGTTTTGTTTATACCATCTAAGCACTTACTTTTTCAGTCACTTTTTACTCCTTATATTAAGACAATGTCAAGAGTGTCATATTTAAGTTCAAATGCTAGAGTTTCTTTGTTTCAAATCCCCCCCCCCAAATATTGCACAATTAGTGAAAAGGGGTTTTAAACTGGTACTGCTATTCTTAAAATACCATTAAAAAGGCAAAGATGTGCTTTATTTTCCATAAGACTAAATGTATACACACATAAAAGTCAAATAATTTTTTATGGAATCAAAATTTTTAAATTTCCACAAATATTTGATCATTATCCTAATTAATCAAGCTAAGTAATTTTTTGAGTTTTCAAACAGAATTTTTAGTGAGATTTCTTAGTAACACCGAGAAGAAATTTTCAGTAAGCAAAGCTTCATGTGTACTGAGTCTCCCAGTGCTAAGTAAAACTAAAATTGCCCTGGAAAAATTCTTACTGACCAAAAGTCACAAGTTAAAACATTAGGCTTTCAGTGCTACTATGCACACATATCATTAATTTTTAAATGAACGTGTGAAACCTTTGGAAAGTATACTTGTTTCATAGAAAGGCGCAGCTGCTTGCTCCTTGCCCACTGGTATCCATGGGGTCTCTAACATGTTCTTGAGAGAATGTGCCTATCTGTTCAGAAAGAAAGGGATGGGCTTGAGCCGCACGTTACTAACAGAACAACAATGAAGGGTAGCTCCAAACGTCTCTTTGTGGACCTTGAGAAAGGGCAGGAATTCCAACCGAGAAAAACTTTGGGCACTTTTGAAAAGGACGAAAGAGCCCATGAGGGCAGGAATACATGGCGGGAAGATCAGAACTAACAGGATTCTGGAACATCATCACAGGACTTCACCTCACTGACCGTGGGGCAGTGAGGGCCCCTGGTCACCTCTGTCTGTGCTCATCAGAGGCCAAAGATGTGAGATGGACAAGAGGGCAACAAAGACGGGGAGGAACGATGAGACAGGAGGCAGGAGAGGCAGGAGGAGTTTTTCTAAAGCATTTTTTAGTTCTTTCATAATTTTTTGCACTGTTTATTTTTCCATTCTTCTACTTAGAAATGTGGTCCCGATAATGCACCCTACTGTTTTACAACAGAAGGTTAATTTGTTGACTACATTTTCACTCTTAAAAATTCCTAACATGGCAGAATACCTTTTTCTGAATTAAATAACTAATGTCTCTGCAGTGCTGAAGTGCTGAGGCAGGTATTTTGCTGCACAGTAAATGAATTATGCGGCTCCTTTCAAACTGACTGAAAATGAGCAACAACAACATAACCACACACAGCATTGTTACGATGTTACCCACATACCTACATCTAAAAGCTCAAATTAGAGCTCCTGCTTCTCTTGGTAAACGTATGTACATTTTGAAATAGTAAAACATTAATAATGCTTTACCCAAAGAGTAGTTACATTTTGTAAAATACTGCGCTTATTATTTTCAAAGTTTGAAAAAATTCTTAATTTTAACAGAACGGAGGATATTCCTGAACAATGCGTCAGTAGGTTCCCAAATCCGCCCACCTCTGCACACCTCTCTACTGCACGGGCTCTGCAGGGGACACACTAGGCTGTACCTGTACGGTGTCAGGATGTTCAGAGGAGGTGGCTTATCACTCTGGTTATAAATGTCAGCAACAGGATTAGGAATACTGTTCTTTGAAACCACCTGCTGGTCTTGGACTGTAGAACTTTTGAAGGCTTTCTTCATGTTGATATCCTGTAGTGATACTGTTTAGAGAAAAGTCCCCCAAGTTGAGTTTCACAGACATATGTTTAACTGTTTAGAAATAAGTATCATTTAACTCATAATCACAAACATCTCCTAGACTAACCAAATGATGTCTTATATTGTCCATTTAAAACCTAACATGTGCATTCTTGCCCTCCTACAGTTAATAGTTATCTCTCTAAAAAGAGGTCAAATTATGGCTTTTTTCTTTTTGTAGCAATCTAATTATTTCATTGGGCCTAATATTAGAAAATTATTTTTAATCAAATAGCAACCCTCAGAAATCATACAGGAATATAGTTGAATCTAACAGTTATATAAATGTATGGATTTGGATATCCTAAGGAAAACACCATTCACACAGTTAATACCAGCTTAAATGTAATGTACATGGGGAACACTTCCACAAAAATTACTCAAATGTAAATGACACATTTTTTTCTAATATTAACATTAAAGAAAGATGGCAAGGCTTATCAACATACGGATAGTCCTTGATATTAAGGAGCTTGATACATAACACAAAACTGCCCCAAGGACTCAGAAAATGGGCGGAAACATTCTTTTCTTGTGTTTGTACAATACTTGACATTACACTTATTAACTCATCTGGCTTTGACACAAATATTTGAGGTGAACAACTAGTCCTATCAACCCAGCCAACACCATTCACACAGTTAATACCAGCTTAAATGTAATGTACATGGGGAACACTTCCACAAAAATTACTCAAATGTAAATGACACATTTTTTTCTAATATTAACATTAAAGAAAGATGGCAAGGCTTATCAACATACGGATAGTCCTTGATATTAAGGAGCTTGATACATAACACAAAACTGCCCCAAGGACTCAGAAAATGGGCGGAAACATTCTTTTCTTGTGTTTGTACAATACTTGACATTACACTTATTAACTCATCTGGCTTTGACACAAATATTTGAGGTGAACAACTAGTCCTACCACCCCAGCCAGTATGCCACTGATGCTAAGATTCAGGGATGTTAAATGACATTGCCAAGATCTGCCAGCAAAAAAGTGACAAGCCCAAAACAAAATACACATTTCCCAACTTTCAGTCAAGTGTTTTTTGTACTCAAACACCTGTGCCAAGGAGAGTAATAGCATAAATCTTGATTGCAAAGGGGCTTAAAACATGTAACATGTACTGCAAATTTTCATACAATTTAACCTATAAATGATCCTTTTTCAGTGTAAGGTGTATCAAAAGCATTACAACTGCAAGAGCCAAAAAAAAAAAAAAACCTGAAGATGAATAAATATTAAAAAAATCACTTGTGGGGACCAGCAGCTGGCATAATGGTTACATTGCTAGACTCCTATGTAGTCAACCACAGTTCGAGTCCCAGACCCTGTGGCTTAAACTCACGCCAGGCGCGTGCCCAAGATCCTGAGAGTAGAATGGAGGAGAAGGGATTGCTGCACAGCTATTTCCCCTGGCAGGGGGGGGAGGGTGATTTCTCACTTTCTGTCTCTCTGTCTTTCTGGCGAGCGCACGTGCCCTATAGCAAAAACCTCCCCCCAAACAAAAAAAGTCACTTGTGACACTTGTGATATCAATTTGAAAAGTGAATGATTGATTTAAGATGTTAGCGATTCCTTATCTGAATAAACCAAAGAGCTACTCAAAATATTTTTTTCAATAGAAAATAAAATTATAAAAATCTGATTTAAAAGAGCATGTCTTTAACTTCCTACGTATTGTTGGAAAGGTCACTAAGAATATTCATAATGAATAGTCAGATTTCAATGTTTTACATTTTTGTTAAATTTATGCTCATTAATTTAATTTGACCCTTGATAAAGATTTGAACATGGGCCCAGCAGATTGTGTGGTAGTTAAGAAGCTGGACTCTCACATGGCCGACCCTGGTTTGAGTCCCGGACCTGGTGGCTTGCCTTCTCTCTTTCTATCTCTCTGTCTCTCTCTAGTCAAACTGAATAATAATAAATAAATAAAATTAAATAATTCTAAAAAAAAAAAAATCTGAACATGAAAAACATATTTTTAATTTTTAAAATGATGAAGGATAGAGCCAGCAGGTGACGTGGTGGTTAAGGGTGCTACACTCCCACATGGCTTACTGCAGTTCAAGTACTGAACCTGGCGGCTTTCTTTCTCACTTTCTCTCTCTCTCTCTCTCACTCTCTCTTGCTCTCTTTCACTCTGTCCCTCTCTGGTCAAATGAAAATAAATAAAGTTAAAGAAAATAATAAAAAAAAAAAATGAAGGATGAATTCCTCAAATAACTACCTTTCAAGAAAATTAGGTTTTTTTTTTCTTTAACAATATATGTACAGCACAAAAATAAGATGCTAAGATCCCCTTACTGCAACAAGAGAAACTGCAAGTACCATTATCAAGGTAAAAATAATATTTTTTAGGTTTTTGTCACAGGGTGTGTGTGCTCGCCAGAGTGACAAAGAGACAGTGAGAGGGAAAGTGAGAAATCACCCTCCTGGGAGGACGGTCATGCACCAATCCCTTCTCAACTCTCCTCTCAGCATTTTGGGCATGCATGCACTCATGCCTGGTGTGATTTTTAAGCCGCCAGGCCCAGGATTCAAACTGTGCTCTGCTGTGTGGTAGTCCAGTGCCTTAACCATCATGCCACCTATAGGCCCTGGTAAAAATAATTTTTAAACTGAATTATTTTTCTCAAAGTAAATATGACATAGTGTATTATCACTTTTTAGTAGCTATTTTGCAGCCTAATCTTAGTCTTTTATTCAAAAGATACTGAAACTAATATTTTTAAAAAGGAATTGTTGGCAAGTTTTATTGAAACTGCCACAATTTCAGGGTGTATCATCAAAATGATTATTGATATTAACATTATTTTAAAACCTAAAGTTTAAAGGCCTACGTATGCTATTTCTGAGAAAGTTAGTAAAAATCTTAAATCGGCAGAATCATCAAGATTAGTTATCAGTATCAACTCTAATGAGAGCATCAGTTAGAAGCCTTTCGTGGGCCATATTAAAGCACATACACAGCCCTCCCTCTTACATGGACCGTATCTTTGGAGTGATGCTGTGATTTTTGGTTAAGAAAGTATTTTAAAATAACTACCCATAACCTAAATAAAGACTTTTAATTCTGAATGCACTTGAAGAAGTCTTTTAAGTAAGTACTCTATTGGTAATTTTAAGTATGCATATGAGGTAGACAAGATATAAGTCTTTTCATCACTAATTAACCCAAAGTTGTAGGTTTTCCCCCTTGTTCTTCTTCTAAGAAAGACAAGATGAAGTATCAGCATACTATCCTAAAGAAAAAGCAGTAATTACACTGCAATTAATTACTACCTTCTGTCAACATCACTTCTAGCTCATTGCTTTCATGCAATTACCTACCCTCTTCCACTGTTGAATCCAGCTGGGTGACTTTGACAGCAAGGCGATCAATTCTGTCTTGAAGAGAATTTGCTCTGATGTAGAAGTTGTTAGCCTCATTAAACAACTCACCAAATATGTCTTCAGCATGTTTGCCTGTGGAAGACAATGAATGGAGAAAGCCATCTGTTAAGAGAAGATGAAGCAGCCCTCACGCGGCCTCGCCAGTGCTTAGTACTGTCAATACGTGGGACTTTGTGCAAATGAGTGTGTAAATAAAGTGTCACAGTATAAGGCCTTTAGAACTTTCAATATTTATCAGATATTCATAGAAACCTGAAACTGACTCAAAGTTATGCGATTCAAAAATAGCCCGGACAGTGCAGAATCTATCACTGCATGAGTGATCATTCAAGTTGTTTCCCACTAAATGCAGTTTCTCTGGGGAAAAATGAAAAATTCTCGTTTTGTATGCTTAAAATGTGATTATCAGGGGCCTGACAGTAGTACAGTGATAACAAAATGAGACTTTGAGGCAGACCCACGTGGTAGGGTTCCAGGTTTGCATTCAGAGTACATTAGGTACAAACATGCCCATGAGCCATGGCTTGCTGAAGTTGGGGGTGGAGCGTAGCATCAAGATCCTGGGAGTGCTCTCTCTCTCTCGCTCACTTGCGCTGTGAGAAAAAATAATCTTTAAAAAAAGGTATAAATATGAGAGACCTTCAAAAAGTTTATTGTGAAAAAATGTTGCATGGATTTAAAACATTTTTGCACCAAAATAAACTTGTCCTTTAACTCCATTTTTCCACAAAATTTTTGAAGTCCCTTGGTATAACCCCAGGAACTAAACTTTCCTTTTATTCCCCAAGACAATACAATAAATCAAACTGGCCTTTAAACTTAGGGTTTCACATCTCATTCACAATCAGAAACATTAGATAACCTATGTTGTGCCTAACACAATGATCTTAAATTTCCAATGACATTAAATTCTTTTAATTAGAAATGTGAAATCCAGGTATAAAATGCTAACTCTAGCACTCTCCAAAATTCAGTATTTTGAATTTGGAGTTAAATTATTCCATAAGCTCAGTTTTACATTCTTATGAGTGAGTGCTAGATATAAATTACACTTTTCTTAAAATGCACTGAACATTTCTGAAAATTTAACAAGCAAGAAAGGAATTAGTATCTGCTCTCATTAAATTTCCAAATCCTAATACCATTCCTCTGTTCATTCAACAACATTTAATATTGGGTTGTCGGAAAAGTTGTGACGTATTTTTCTAGGCAAAAATGCATCATGACTTTTCTGACAACTTAGTAACTGCCTACTCTGATGTGCAAGGCACAACTCACACCTTAACTTCTCTGACAGAAATACCTACCATTTCTTTTCATTTTCATTTTCTATCAATTTATCACTCAAATGAGAAAGAGAACCTCCCAGGAAGAAAATGTCGCTAATGCAAGAGTAACTACCGTTTTCATAGTACTTCATAGTTTATCCCGTGCTCTCATAGCCACTTTCCAGATTCAGCATTGTAATCCATGAGCCAGCTCCAGGATCCAGGGCTCATGTCTGCCAGCCCAATGCTGAGATCCAGCCCTAGGACAGTGCCTCCTTCACACCCCTGTTCAGTGAATTAATGAGTGAGAGCCCAGGAGGCAACAGGGAGCTACTGTGTTCATTTTCTACATGACTAAATTGAGGTTTAGGGGCCAACAGATGGCGTAATGGCTACGTTGCTGGACTCCCATAGAGTCGACTGTGGTTTGAGTCCCTGACCCAGTGGCTTAAACTCATGCCAGGTGTGTGTGCGTGCGTGCCCAAGATCCCGAGAGGAGAATGGAGGAGAAAAGACTGTGGTATGAAAAACAAAACAAAACAAAACAAACCCAAACTGAGGTTTAAAAGAAAGGTGGTCTGTCCAAATCCCAAGGCTAATAAATGATAGAAATGGATGAAACAAGCGCTTGATCTAATCTTCTAACTTGCAGTTCTCTTTTTGTTTTTGTTTTGCTATAGAGTGCATGTGCTTACCAGACAGAAGCGGAGAGGGAGGGAAACTAAGAAAGTGCACCCCCCGCCTCAACGAACCCTAGCCGGGATGGCTACAACCACACATGACCCATGTGTTTTTCAAGTCACTGGGTCTGGGAATTGAACCTTGCAATTGGCCATGTGGGATCCAGCTTCCTTAACCTCCACACCATCTTCTTGCCCCCAGTTCTCTGCTTTTATCATAGAACTCGGAGAGCTTCCTTAAAGTTCAGCAACTTTTCTGAATTATTTCAAGCCATGAGACACTTGACAGTTTCCTATATATTTAATGCAACAGATTAAAATATTTCACTGCATAATGGTCAACCCCTCCAGACACTGAATAAGCTTTTTTTATGAATTCAAAAATAGTATGATTTCATAAAATCTAACTATGCGACTATCCTTAAGAGAAATTTTCTCTTACGAATAGGGTCCAGCAGGTAGCATGGTAGTTAAGGTGCTGGGCTCCCACGTGACTGACCACAATTCAAGTCCAAACCTGGCAGCCTGAAAATCATGCTAGGCACATGTGCATGTGTACTCAAAATCCCAAGAGGAGAATGGAGGAGAAAGGACTGTGATGGGGCCCTCTCCTTGGGAGGGTGATTTCTTACTTTCTGTTTCTTTATCCCGTGCTCTCATAGCCACTTTCCAGATTCAGCATTGTAATCCATGAGCCAGCTCCAGGATCCAGGGCTCATGTCTGCCAGCCCAATGCTGAGATCCAGCCCTAGGACAGTGCCTCCTTCACACCCCTGTTCAGTGAATTAATGAGTGAGAGCCCAGGAGGCAACAGGGAGCTACTGTGTTCATTTTCTACATGACTAAATTGAGGTTTAGGGGCCAACAGATGGCGTAATGGCTACGTTGCTGGACTCCCATAGAGTCGACTGTGGTTTGAGTCCCTGACCCAGTGGCTTAAACTCATGCCAGGTGTGTGTGCGTGCGTGCCCAAGATCCCGAGAGGAGAATGGAGGAGAAAAGACTGTGGTATGAAAAACAAAACAAAACAAAACAAACCCAAACTGAGGTTTAAAAGAAAGGTGGTCTGTCCAAATCCCAAGGCTAATAAATGATAGAAATGGATGAAACAAGCGCTTGATCTAATCTTCTAACTTGCAGTTCTCTTTTTGTTTTTGTTTTGCTATAGAGTGCATGTGCTTACCAGACAGAAGCGGAGAGGGAGGGAAACTAAGAAAGTGCACCCCCCGCCTCAACGAACCCTAGCCGGGATGGCTACAACCACACATGACCCATGTGTTTTTCAAGTCACTGGGTCTGGGAATTGAACCTTGCAATTGGCCATGTGGGATCCAGCTTCCTTAACCTCCACACCATCTTCTTGCCCCCAGTTCTCTGCTTTTATCATAGAACTCGGAGAGCTTCCTTAAAGTTCAGCAACTTTTCTGAATTATTTCAAGCCATGAGACACTTGACAGTTTCCTATATATTTAATGCAACAGATTAAAATATTTCACTGCATAATGGTCAACCCCTCCAGACACTGAATAAGCTTTTTTTATGAATTCAAAAATAGTATGATTTCATAAAATCTAACTATGCGACTATCCTTAAGAGAAATTTTCTCTTACGAATAGGGTCCAGCAGGTAGCATGGTAGTTAAGGTGCTGGGCTCCCACGTGACTGACCACAATTCAAGTCCAAACCTGGCAGCCTGAAAATCATGCTAGGCACATGTGCATGTGTACTCAAAATCCCAAGAGGAGAATGGAGGAGAAAGGACTGTGATGGGGCCCTCTCCTTGGGAGGGTGATTTCTTACTTTCTGTTTCTCTCTCTGGCATGTGTACACACCCTAGGGCAAAACAAACTTAATAAAACAACAACAACAAAACCTGACAGTTCCCAGTCCCACAATATGCAAAATGATTCCACAAAGGCAAGGAAAAAAAAATCCCACAAATTGCAAATATTTAAAAATACTGTCACTAGATGCAATACCAAGAACTATTATTTGTTTTCTGCCTCATAAACTCCTGAGCTTCAGACTTGTGTATCATCTTAATAAGCTACCAAGCATCTCCCTCTCAAATTCTGTATGAGTTCAAACACGAATCCTCTCTTCTCCCAACCCCTGGCAACCCCCATTCTACTTTCTGTCTGTATGAGTGTGAACACTCTAGATTAGAACTCTCGATGAAATGGTTTACTCAGCTCAGGTGACCACCTCCCGGTTAAGTCAATCACTGGTTCTTGGGCTTCTTCCATCTGGCCAGCAGCCTCACCACTGCTGCTGTTGTCAGACCCCTTTGGCCAGGTCTGCAGATCCTCTCCCACCTCTCAACCTTCATTCCCCTCTCAGCCTTCATCCCCCTCAGCTTCTCCCTTGTTTCCACCCTTCCTCAAACGTGAAACTTCCCAGCAGCCCAGAGCTTAACATCTTTTTGTTTTTTAATTTATTTAATAGGAAAAAAAAAAGCTAATTACTTCTGCTTCTAAATCTAGTGTTTCAATATTATTAAGAACTTGAAAAATTAGTGACACAAAAAGAGAATCAATGTGTTAAGTATTCCAACCTCTTCTATCAACATTCTCTTGGGCCTCTCACCTAGTCTAATAGCCTTCAAATATTCCCTCTATGTTGATGACTCCTAGATTTCTATGTCCACATGGACCTCTTCCAGAAACCCAGGCTCACTATCAAACTCTTTCCTGAGCAGCACCACCTGCGTGACATGTATTCATGTGTTGACAGCACCACCTGTGTAACATGTACCCATGTGCTGAAAGCACCACCTGAGGAGCACCTCTTGGGTTCTCACTCAAACTTGACCTGTGTGGAACAAAATCTTCTACTTCCCCCTTTAATCTTGCTCCTCTCAGTGTCTTCCCCTCTCAGAAAGTGCCAACTCCATTCTTGCTGTTGCTCAAGCCATAGACTCTGAGGTCATCCCTGACTCCTCTCATTTTCTCACAAGCCACACTGGCTCTCCTGTAAACCCTGTCATACACATGATGTTTCCAAAATACATCCAGAGTCTGACCACTCTGCACCATCTCCCCTCATCCTACTCTGGTCTGTCACCATGGCCTCTCACCTGAATTCCAAACTTCCCAGCTCCCACCTGGATACACACTCACTTCAG